CTTCCAAGAAGGTTCTCACAGAACCCTGGGCCTATACTGACACTAGTGCTTCTCACGCTGCACAGTCACTGGCTCCACAGCTGTCTCTCCCATCAGATTGTGAACTCCCCCAGGGAATGAGCCATTCTGTATCCCAAACCCAAGATGTTTACTATCAGAGCCAAATGAAGATCATCACCATGATTGAGGTGGGTACTAGCTGTTTATGGCACTCTTTTCCAAGTCACTTGGGGTTCTTCTAAGGCTCACACCAGTAAGCAAACCACCAGGTTATTCAGGTAGGCTGTGATACGGATTAAGCAGATCGCCTGATCCAGGGCAGGCAGCTCAGGTTTCCAAAAAGCACCCGATCGATGGCCATGCAACCTAAACAATGTACCTGGGCAGTTCCCAGGATACTTCCAAGGAACCTGAGAACCTTTACCATTCCCTGGCTGGCAAGAGGATGAAGATGCCCCACTGGGCAGTGAGACTCAACCAAGCTGAAAGTCTTCCCAAACTGACTTACAAGGAAACTTTATTCAAACAGTGTAATGAGTGCAAGCACTAAAGTTGAATCCTGGCTTTGACACGTTTCAGCTGTTGTCATCTTGGGGCAAGTGACTTAACCTCTTTGAACCTTAGTTTCCATTTCTATAAAATGGAAACAATAATAGTTCTTATAGACTAGTGAGGACTAAAGGAAATAACACACAGGAAGTCCTTAGCAAGCACCCAGCACAGAAAATGCATTTAATAAATATTAAAGTAATTTAAAAGGCCTAGAGTCGGGCAGTTAGGTGAAAGCCCACAGGTAACTGGGTGCTGGCAGGATGCCAACCATCCTCCCCTTCTCAGCCACATCTACCCACACTCCACATTCCTGAAATCCTCAAGCCTTTCTCTGGTCCAACTGCCCTCCCATTTAAGAATCCTGCTTTCCTACATACCCTGCTTTTTGTCCGCCTCTTTTCTCCCCGTATCTTCTCTCACTACCACCCCCTAAAACCATTCCTCACAACATAATGAGCTCTCCTACCTCCCACTCTCTGTGACCCACAAACATTTATTAAGTGCATATTCCATGCTAGAAAGGACAAAGCTGAGAAACACAGCACCCTCACCCCTGGCCAAATGAGAAGCGGCCATCTAATTTCCTTCCCATCAATCTTTTCCATGGGCCCCTGTCTTTGTCCTACTGTTTCCCCCTCCCCTGTCCATCCTTCTTTCTTCTCATCAGTAATCTTGGGAGCTCCCTCTGTAAATCAGCCTATTTCTTACCACCAAAGGCTTGCCTACTCCCCCAACCAACTCCCTCCCCCCACTATATTTTCCTCGCCAAAAGTTATTCCCTCCCCAAAGGTCTCTATTTTCTATCATCACCACCACCACCCCCACCCCCCAAAACTCCTAGGCTCTGCCTGCAGGCTCTCCATTTCTCCCCAGTTCATTCATTTTTTTTTCATTCTTTAGGTATCCACTGAGCTCAGCACTAGATTCTGAGGTACAACTATAAGCTAAACAAACAGTCAGAAAAGTAAACAAACAAACAACAACAACAAAAAAACCCATACAGGACAGATGCAGCTAGTGGAAATGCACTGAATGAAATTGAGAGAAAAATGGAAAGGAATTGGGGTGCGGGACGCACTTTAGGTGGTGTGGTCTGGGAAGGCCTGGACTGGCTGATAAACACAGCTGCCATTACTGGTCACCAACTGTGTAACAGACATTGGATCAGTCTCTTTCCATGCATGATATCACTGAATCCTCGCACAATGTTCACACTACCCATTTGCAGATGGGGAACCAGAGACTCAAAGAGGTTAGGTAATTTGTCCAAGGTCACACACCCATTAAATGGTGAAATCAGGACTTGAATGCACAGCTGACTGCTGCACTCCTGCTTCCCAGGACCCTTTGCAACCCGTCCTCCCCCAGACCTCTATTTCTGATAGTCCCTGCTTAGACACTACCCCCCCCCCGCAAAATAGTTTGATTTAATTACTATCCTTTATTGAGCACCTCTGTGCTTCCATTTTTATGTGCATTCTCTTACGGAATCCTCAAGACAATCTTGCGAAGCAGGTGCTGTCACAATATCCATTTTCCAACTGAGGAAACTAAGGTCTAACTTCTCACACTTAGATTCGAACCCAGATCTGTCTGAATCCAAGATCCAGACCTCTGACCTCTAGGCTGTCCGGATTAAGAAGCACCACCCGCGGAAGCTTGGTGGCCAAGACCTGCCCTCGGCAAGAACAAAGTCTGTGTTCATAAACTGAAATTTCCCTTACTTTACAGATGGGGACACTGAGACACCGAGAAGCTAAGCGACTTGACCAAGGTCACACAGCGAGGAGCGACGGGTCAGGGTTCGAAACCAGGCACCCTGACTCCAGAGCCCTAGCTCCTAACCACCATACAGCCTTTCTCCAGCGCCTCTCTCAACCCCCCACATCCGCTCTCACACCTCCCAGTGACCCCGTCGCGGGTCTATGCACCCCATCCCCGTATCCAGCCCCAAGGCCTCCCACCTCGGCCCCCAACACACTCACTTGAGGTGGTCCAAGGAGTGGATGTTGCGGGAAGACTTGCCATGGCCCCCGCCCACCCAGCTCCGTGAGCGGCCAAACATGTCGGCGACCCCGGCGGGTCCCTCGCCTCACGGTCTCATGCCCCAGCGGCCCAGCTACCGGGAGCCCGCGACCGCAGCACAAGCCCCGGAGGTGGTGAAGGGACCGCCAACCACCTTCCCCCCCGGCCCACAGCCCCGCACTGACATTCAGCCGGAACCGGCCGTTCGACCGTCGCGCTTTACGGCCGCCACCACGAGGAACGCTGGGAAATGCAGTGCGCTCGAGAGGCCCGGGTGGACAGGACTGCAAAGCAACTGCAAGGGCCGGCATGCCTCGCACAACTGCGGGCCTGCCTCGGAAAGAGAGGAGGAGAGTGCGCCGGGTGGGCAGGAACGGGAAATTTGTGCGAAGAACCCTAAGAAGGAACTCGGGGAAATAGGATGAATAAAAGTAATAGCAGCATTAACAATTATTATCTTATGATATGATTATAAGAGTAGCTGTTGCATAGTGTATACCATGTGCCACCATCCTAAGCACTTACATATATATAATTATTTAATTCTAACAACCCTACAAGGTGGGTACTATTATCATTCATTCCCATTTACCGTCAAGGAAACTGAATCACAGAGGGGTTGACTTGCCAGAGGTCATGTAGCTAGTAAGTGACAGAACTAGGGTTAAAACCCAAGCACCCTTATTTTTATGCCCCAATAAACTATCAAACCCATAATGGCCTTCTTTGTTCTCACTGCCTTTTTCTTTTCTACTTCAGCTAATGTACATATAGAAAGGCCCTCAAGAGGCAGTGTACCAAAACTGAACATCTTGTACTTTCAGAGGATTTCTCTGGTCTTCAACCCCAAATCCATGCCATTTCCAAAACTACCACATTAAAAAAAAAGAAGAAGAAGAAGAAGAAGAAGAAGAAGAAGAAGAAGGAAACACTCAACTTCCTATATGAGCCAAGAAATGTATCTAAATTTATCTTCTGGATAAATAGTGAAAAGCTCCATGGAGGTAAGATGACTGCTTTCACCATTCATTCACTTCTTTCTATATCTCATAGACATCTAAGTCCTATTTTGTATAATCTACTGTGCTCAGAACAGAATTGGACCAGGGGCCAATGTTTTCCCCAATGCCTAGTACAAGGCTTGGTGCTAATAGGTGGTCAACAAACTGGCAGAGTGAATGAATAACTGAAGGTTGTTTCACCTTCTGCAGTTGGAGAAATGGAGACCAGTGAAGGGTTAATGGTTTGCTCTGTAATTCATCTAAAGGGGTAAGAAACAGTCATGGAGAAAAAAGGGCAGGTTCTGTCCTTCAGGCACAGGCAGGCAGATCAACTTCCACTGTCCCTCCCTTTCTCTGGGCCTTGGTTTTCTCATTCATAAAAAGGAAGAAACACATTACACTGCCCTGTCTGGTTCCACTTAAGCCACAAGTGGCAAACACACAAGGTCCTCCCGCCAAATCCAGCCCTCCACCTTGTTTTATACGGTGTCAGCGCTGAGCTCTCTTTTAACTGGTAAGTAGTTACATGTATACAGTCCTAAAAGTACATTTGGCCCTTTGAAGGCAACCACGAGGCTGATGTGGCCTCCAGTGAAAACAAGTTTGACACCCCTGATTAAGCAATGCATGTAAAGCACCCAGCTCAGTGTGCCTGAGATTTAAAGTTTTGTTGAACTGGTTTGGAAGACCCTGTGGGCAAGATCAGTCTGCCAAATGATGTACTAGGGTTCCCCATTAGAAGAGGATTCACTTTTCTGTGTACTTCTTGGGTGAATGTTTAACCATGTGCATTATTGTTGTCTTGAAACATGTCTTACAAAGTACAGAGAAACTAGAAGCAACCCTACTGGCTAAAGGTCTGGCCTGCCTGGGAATTTCTTTACTTAGGTGTCCCTAAACTCTATGATGCAGAACCCTCGTCCATAGGCAGACCTTTAAACAGCCAGAGTTTGGAAATGAAGGGGGCACTGATTGATTATCCCCACCGTAAAACATTGGCACTTTGGGAAAGTCCAAGATTTTCACTATTAGAGTGCACCATCCCTCCCCTACCCCGCCTCTTTTCTCATCTGCTAAACTGAGTCCCAAAAAGGATGGCACCATATTTAAGTCTAGCAAGGCACAGAAGGTGCTCGCGATTTCCCTCAGCTTTTGTCGCCTTGGGATACATCTAGATTTGAATTGTGTTGGTTTTTTTCCACTCCCTCTACTCCGTGGGGTATTTGCAGAGCGAACTGGAATTGAGATCAGGGCGGAGCCCAGAACCCGGAAAGCAACTCAGAGGCCGGCGTCCGTAGGGACGGAGCTAAGAAGTACCCGCCCCCAGACCACTCGGGCCAATGAATGTGAGTGTTGGGAAGGCCAATGAGCGCTGGCAAGGGGCGATCGGCCAATGAGAGCGGGGTCTCTCCGGAGGCGGAGCTCGGAACACTACCAGCAAGGCGACGCGGCGGCTGCAGTCATGGTCGCTGAGCCTGCGGCGGCGCAAATGGGGCTCGAGGAACTGCTGGGTCGACCTGGAGAGGCTGCCTCCGGGACTGGCCCTGGACGCTGAGCCGTGGTGGGGTCCCCACCAGTGCTGCGAGGGCACGTGATTGACAGTGGGCGCATCGGAGGAGCGGGACAACCACTTTAGGGGGTCCCGCCGCTCATCCCCGGGGGTCACCGCGGGGGCCCAGCGCCGCCTCGGTCGAGCCCAGGGCGCCCCTGGATGGCTGAGTTGCCCTCTCGCTGGCCGCCCGGGCGCCACAGCAGCTGAGCTCGCCGGGATCCCCGGGCTGCTGCCGCCCTCGCGGTCCCCTGCATGCCCGGCGCCCGGGTCGCAGCCCACCTGGACGCGTTGGGTCCCCTGGTCCCCTACGTGCCACCGCCGCTGCTGCCCTCTATGTTCTACGTGGGCCTGTTCTTCGTCAATGTGCTGATCCTATACTACGCCTTCCTCATGGAGTACATCGTCCTCAACGTCGGCCTCGTCTTCCTGCCCGAAGACATGGACCAGGCACTTGTGGACCTCGGCGTGCTCTCTGATCCTGGCTCGGGCCTCTATGATGCCGACTCGGAGCTCGACGTCTTCGATAGTTATTTGGAATAGGTCTCACTCTCCCACCTCCTCCCACCCACCCCCTACGACCTGCAACCGTCCCCCCGGACCAGCCATCCGATCATGCCGCCGCTGCTGGTTGAGGGCACCGTCTGGCCAGGGATGGGACCTCCAGGACAAGGTCCTCTCCGGCCTTTGAGGCCTGTAAGTGCCCTCTCTGTTCGGGATGAGGACGGGTTGGGGCGCTTGTGAGGAAGAGGGAGGTATCCCCAAGCAGGACACACACTCCTCCCTGAGGCTTCTGATTCATTGCTCTATCCACCTCCTCCAGATCTATTTGGATGCCAGGAATGGCTGGACTCTTCTTAGGCCCTTAGTTGGAGTTGAAAAGCTTCCCCTAAGGAAAGTGACAGCTGTTGAGGAGGGGAAGGGAGGCAGGGCCTAAATAGCGTTTGGATTAGTCAAGGTACCAACTTCCAGAGCTTGTGCGGTGGGGGCGGGACGCCTTTGTACCCAGATCCATTTGTGGCAGAGTTATCAGCTCTTCCCCCTATCCTCAGCCTGGCTTGACGATGACCTTGGTTGTTTGGGGATTCACTAGTCCTAGAAGGATAAAGGCCCATTACTGGGAGTGTCACAAAATGTAGGAAGCCAGGCAGTGATCACCCTTGGGGACTGAGAGCAAGGGCTCCTGGTTGAGGCTGTAAGAGGAGAATCCTTCTTCAGCAAAGAACGCTGTACTTCCTTCCGCCTTGGGTTTGCTGCTGTTTTGGAGTCAGGTTTCAGGGTGCCCCAGCTCAGCAGTTCTGCAGTTGGAATCTGCAGGGGCTGCCAGTGTCACAGGCTGTCTTCTTAGCAGGCAAGCTGGGGCTTGGTGCTGGGGCTGGCTTTGCCTGCAGTGTTTGTAAGGCCTCAGGGGGCTCTTGGGCCAGCAGAAGAAACTATAGGATCATTGCACTGAGGTGTAAAGTCCTGCTTCTGGGCTGCAACCAGGAAACTCTGTCCAGTCCCACCTGTGTGTTGGTGGGAGAGAAATGAAAATCCAGAAAGGAGAAGGACTTGGCCAAAGTAACACATCAAGAAAGAAAGGCTAAATAAATAAATAAAAGAAAACAAACAAACAAAATAGAAAAAGAGAGAAAGAAGGAAGACAGGCAGCTGGACTGGAAGGGGATGACATAGGCAGACTGTTGGGTCAGGCAAGGGTTCACAGGGTATCCAGGAATTCCTTGGCTGGAGCCCCTCAGCTGGCCAGTGTTCATGTGTCACTAGGCACAGGGCTTGAATGCCAGTGGAAGGGGGGTATTTAAGAATTGGGCAAGGGCTTCTTTTGGAAAACAGACACTAATGACACTCACCCCAAGCAGGCTGAATTAACACCTCCCCTCTGTTGCCTTACTAAGCCAAGATGACCATAGTCAGAGGGTGATTCAAGGTGGGGCCGGACCTACTGCCAGTAGCACTAGGGGTCAGGGGCTCCCCTGAGGGGTTAATAGTGAGAGTTCTTTGAGGAAAGTTTCATTTGACCTGCTCTGTATAACTATCCAGTCTGCCTGCCTTCCATCCATCCATCCATTGGTTCTTTTATTGAACAAAAGCCATTAGTACCTACTATGCCTGCTGGATGCACACAGTGACAAGGCAGACTTATCCCCAGCTTTCCTGGCACTTGGTGAGGCAGGCACGTGGGTTCTCAAACAAGATAATCAAATTTTTTTGAGAGTTATGAAGGCAGGTAAGGACATGGGTTCCCTACTGTGTTCGCTGCTATTTTGTCAGCACTTAGAATATCACTTGGCATCTAGTAGGTACTCAATAAGTGTCTGCTGAATAAGTGACACAGAAGAATAGAGGTGGGCTGCTTCAGATAGGGAGGTCACAAAGGGCCTTCTAAGGAGATGACACATTTGAGGTGAGCCTTCAATTGACAGGAGCCAGGTGTGAAGACCTGGCAAAGAGCAATCCAGGCAGAGGACTGCTAGTGCCAAGGCTGTCGGGTGGGAGAGAGTTGGTTCTTCCGTCTGCTGAGACGAGGCTATTCTGGCTGGAGAGCAGCTCCAGGAGAAGTTAGTGGGATGGGCGGGGGTCACAGCCACGAGCAGTGGGAAGCCATCAGCAGGTTTTATTTAGGTAGAGGATGTTGGCTTTGGCGATTGTGGGAAGAATGGGCTACAGAGGCAGGTGTGAAAGCAGGGAAGCCAGTTAGGAGCTGTTCAGTTGTACAAGCCAGAGGTGACTGAGGCTTGGATGAGGCAAGTTTAATAAAGATGGAGAAACACGAACAGACCAAGAACACCTTTTCAATGTAGAATCTATGGAATCCATTCAAAAGCTATAGTGAGTGTCGATCATCTGCCGTGCCTGATTCCAGGCCTTTTTTGTATTCACTTATTCAATCATTTAACAAATGTTAGTCCTGTCTACTCTCCTGCCAGGCCCTGTGCTAGGCTTTGGAGATTCCAAGATGAATCCCTGCCCCCAAGCCAAGTGCTCGACTTTCAGAGAGTGTAACTTAGTGAAGACCGTCTTATTTTATCTCTTCACCACATCAACAGAAACACTTCCCTTTCCAAGTGAAAACATTGGCATACTCTAATCCAAAAACTGAAGCCCAAATGTTTGACATACTTTGCAGCAAATGCTGTTTGAACAGAAACACAGGAAGTGTGTCTCAAGAACACCGTGGCAAAGATTTCAAAGCTGGACCCTGGGAAGTAGGAAGGTCTGGGGCTGTATGGAATACTCATGCCTGGAGAAATGGTGGAAGCCACACACAGCATTACTTCTCCCCCACTCCCAAATCCAAACACCAATGTGGTTTCGGCCCCAAGGATTGGGGAAGCCCAGACTCGGGTAGGGGAGGGGTGGGTAGAAGCAGGAAAAGCCTTTGGGGAAGATTAAAGATGATCTGACTGTACCTCATCTCCAGGCCCCTTTCCCTAAGCAGAAGAACACCAGTGGTCAAATCTTGTTCTTTCTCACTCACTCTCACATAGACACAGTCTCATGAAACATTGACTAAGAGTGAGGGTGTGCCAGGCAGTGGGGACGAGGGTGCATATCAAGATCAAAAGATGCACTCACTTTTGCTCCCTCTCTCTTTTTTGTCTTATATGTGTGCCCACATAATTCAGTCCTCGAACATTTGTTGAGAACTTGTCAAGGACATAGTGTTAGTATCAAATACTCCAGATTCAGATGCCCCAGGTTCACATTTTAATCCTAACTGTGACCTTGGGCATGCTATATGCTTCCATGTGTGTCAGATTCTTCTATAAAGCAAAAATAAGGAAAGTCTACCTCCTCATGAGGATTAAATGAGAGCTATGTGAAGGTCTTAGACCTTCCTGTGTATAGTAAGTGATATATTAAAATTAACCACTGTTGTCATATGGAATGTGTATACACTTGGACCCTTTGAGTGTATAAACCTGCACATTGATATTTATATCCCATGATGAGCCAAAGAGGACTGGCTGGCTGAGTGATGGGTAGATCCAGGTCCAGACTGCTAGGACAGACTTCTCACTCTGCCTTCTAGGCTTGGGACCATCTGGAGACCTTGTGCATTGCACTGTGGCCTCCAAAGGCCACCAGGTCTGGGGCCCTGTAGAGCCACAGCTCTGTGGTTTTCCTAGAGTCTTAATCTGCCCAAAAACAAGGAGTGGAGAGTCAGGAGCTCCCTCCTTTCCAGGAGAAAAGGTCACTTCAGCTAGCCTAGGAGCTGGAGAGAGTCCTCACGTCCTAGCGGTTCTGATGTGGAGGGAGTTCAGCTGGATTGGTTTGTCCTGGTTCCCGATGAAAGCTGATGATGCCTGCCTGCCCTCTCTTGGCATAGAGGTAGAGCTGTGGGAGAGGGGCCTCACTACACTGGGAGTAGAGAGACTGGAGAATGCAGCTGCCAGAGTCAGCCTGGCGGAGCTCAGATTTGGAGTTAAGGGTAACCAGACTCAGCAGTCAACTTATTACAGGGTTTCCCAGGCTTCAGTCTCTGGACTGGGTGCTAAAGTTACTCCTTCCTGATCTACCTGTCCTGCTTCCTCATGCCAATCTATAGCCTATGCCATCAGCAGAACACACAGGAAGTTGGGTACATTGCCACTCTGCTCAGAAACCCAAATCTTTTGGGGGGCATGGTCACAGTAGATTCAGGTCCCGGGAGATACCCCAGGCAACCAGTGGAGCTTGATCCAGGGATTTGGTCCGATGGGGAAACCAGGTGGGAAGTTGAGACTGTCATCCAGGCAAGAGACAGGCAAAGACAAGGGGAGGCATGTGTACCCCTAGGCCTACTGACTCACCAGTTCTGTCCTGACATAAGGCTTACCCGGAAGGGTGCTGTCCACCAGGTACATTGGTTCTGGCTGCCCCTTTGGACAGAAAAGACCCCAATATGTGTCTCAAGACAGCTGAGATGTCAGAGGTCCACTCCTTTGGTTCTGAGTGATGCAAACGAGAATTCTTCCAAGGTGCACCCTCACAGGCCTTGTGTCTGTTTGTTAAACTAAGAAATTAAGGGCTCATCTGAACTTGACCATTAGTATTCCTGGTTAATCTGCTGACTTTCCCTCCTTGACTTTGGAAGCCTAGTTTGTTTTTGGGAAACCAAGATCACAATAAAAAGACAGGTTTGGGAAACCCAACTCACAAGTAAAGAAACTGAGGCCCAGAAAAGGGGGATGAAGGCCAAGGGAACAAAGCTGAGTAAGAGCTGAGCACCCCCCGCCCCCAGTGTTGGAGATATAGGGGGGTGGCTTCAGGGAGGGGCTCTGACCCTTGTCCTTGGAGTACTACTCCCAACTGCCAGGCCTGCCTCGTGCATTCTTCTTCCTTTTTTCTGAGTTTTTTTAAAATAAAACTTGAAATTTACAATTATACAAAAGTCATAAGAAGAGTACAAAGAATTTCCATATACTCTCCACCCAAATTCACCGATTGTACTGATTAATGTATTATCACATTTGCTTGTGTAGGCAACACGTGCTCACTCTGTGTATGTACCTGTATGTGTATACAACACATACATGTTTAATTATTTTGAAAACAGATTTCAGATATTACGTTCATTTACTCCTAAATATTTCAGTGTGAATATCCTTAGGAAAAGGACCTTCACTTACAACCACAGTACAATTGTCAAATCAGCACATTTAACATTGATACAATTTTAGAATCTAATTTATGCCTTTATTCAAATTTCATCA